ATTCAAAAGGGATACGAGCATTGAAGTTAACTTTGCCCTCTCAAATCTTTATTTAACCAAAAAAAATTAAAAAAAAACTCTTGGAAAACCGCAAAAGACGTAAATAACTCAGTAGTTTTAGAAAATAAAGTAAAATTTAAATTCCCGAGATCCTAATTATAAAAAAAAAGTAAAGGTATAGCTATCAATTATTAAAAAGGTACATGATATACTGCTCCGCCTCCACTATTTCTTCGAACCAAGTGTACACCTTCCTCAGCTAATAGGCAAATCTCGCACTCTAGCCAAGGGTTCTATGGATAAATCATAAATAGATATTAAATAGAAATAAAATATTAATAATTATAATAAATCATATTATTAAGATTTTTAATACTCTAACGAAGCCACCTGATTTCTCCCTAAAACAACAGAAGGTTTATTTCGCCACAAATAGAGAATAGAGTAGTTACTAAAGTCTTCATTTTTAAAAATCCTATAAAATAAGGAAAATAAAGAACAGATAATAGTTATTTTAAAAAGAAATAAAAAAATAAATGTCACCAGTCTTCTAGTGCGAGATTATAAAAGGGATCAATACAAGTAGACACGTATATTTTATAACGTTCGCCTTTAGATAATTGATGTTCTTTTCTCGCAAAAAAAAGGTTTGAAAAATTAACCTTTATTTAAAAAATATATATATAATTCTTATTAAAAAAAAAAACATTCAACTGTAGATTTACATATTCTACGTCCCACTGTTTCTGCAAAAAACCTGCAACTCTTAGCACTGACCTCAGATAGAACATCACCCACTTTCTTATGGGCTACTGTTTTATTTATTTTTTTTTTTAAACTATCATGCTTTTTATTATCACGAGAAAAGAAAATAGTTTAAGTAATTTTTTATATATAGTATTTTTTGTTTTACTATTATATTGTTGTCTTTAATAGTGGTTATTATGAAGGCGTAATTGTTAAACTGCTAACTATTTTTTTTTTATTGATAATAAAATTAAATTTGAAGCTTTAAAACTCATTTTTCACTTTTACCTTTCTCTAGCTGATATTTTATTCTCAGCTTACCTATGTATCTTAATATGATGACAATATTTCGCCCGTTGTATAACTCAACATCTATAAAAGCTTAACGCAAAAGTTGACACATTCTATCTTAAGTAATTGTTTTGAACGGGGGAATAATTGTAAACAATTGAGAACTTTTTTTAAAACCAGTTAAACATATTAACCGGTCAAGAAACCTACTTATAAGCTTTCTGGCTAGTGATGATACACCAAACAGAAAAGGCCTAAGCATCTTTAAAATCATCTAAACATTGGATCTTTTACTGTGCATTCCATATACTTACTTATCTATTAGATTTTCATAAATTTAGTGTTTTTTAAAAGAAAGATAAATTATATTGATAAAAATATAGTAAGGATCCTTTTTTCCAAGGCGGTAGCCCGTTAACGAAGCAAAAGAACTTTAGATCTACAAAAGCTAGAAATTAGTAGAATTTTACAGTGGGACATAAAGCTTACCACACAAAGCCTCTTATAATTAACTTTTATATACTTTGTTAAAGTACATAACCTTATTAAACAAGATAAAAAACCCATTTCGGTTACTGAATTATGAGAAATTAGGACGACAAAGTTATTCAGTTGGTGTGGAAAAGAAAAATGGGTGTGCCTAATTTTAACTACTTAACTGAGTTACATTTTCTAACAAGAAAACTTCACTTATACTATTCCAAACTAGAAGGCTACAATACAATTTATTTTAATAACTGTAACTCTCTTGAAGGCAATAAGGAGAATTAAAACAATAAAGCTTTTTTTTCACCTTAGTTAGTGCACTTTTTAAAATACCCTTCATAAATATTTAAATTTTTGTCATATACGGAATGGAACGCGTCTATTCCAAATATATAAGAAATTAACGACAGCAAAACTGTTATAGTTAGTATGAACGATAGAAAGTAGTGACATAAAGCATCGCTAAAAAAAAAATTAAAAAATACAAAAATTAGCTTCTAGATACTTTCAAATATCACTTATCATTTATCAATATGTTTGCCTCGATTAAAGGAAAAATAAAAACATAAGCGAATCTTTCTTTTTGCCTTACTTATAAATGTGAATACCCAATACCCAGTTCTCAACTTGAACTTAACAATGACAAAGAAATTAACACTAACATTACAAACGTCCTCGTGGTATTCTTTCCCTTTAAAATTGTTAATCATAACTTTTAAATTATAATAAAAAAATCAACAAAACATTGAAATCGCGAGTGGTAAGTTTGAACCACAAATAAAAAGTTCTTACAATATTGTCTTATTACAATACAAACAAGCGCTGGATACAAAGCAATAAAATCCTGCTTTTGGTATGCCTTGTCGTAGCATTACTTTGCATACTGTGTTAGTAATAGATCACTATATCTAGGAAGAAAAAAGATTTTTATATAATTAAAAGCGATTTCTCTAGTTAAGGAGAATCTGAGAAAAAATGATAAATTTTTTAAAAAAAAAAACCAATTTTTTTATTTAAAAATTTTCTTGCTTAAATGTATAATATATATATATATGCGTGTATATTTATTGCATTATAAGTATACGGATATAATAAAAAAATCAATTCTTTAGTTAAAAACTTGCTGTAAAGTAGTTATTTCATTCAACTTTGCAATGACGCACCTATCTAGGATTTTATATAAAAAAAACTGCCTTTCTTAAATCGAAACATGTATTTTACATATTATGTGTACACTGGAAGTAAATTTTAATTTATTTAGCTGAGAACTTGCTATAAGTAGATATTTTACTCATTTTTCAGGTACGCATTACGTTCCAATAAATTTATATTTTTTTCCCGATAATATATAAATATATCTCACTGTACAAACTAAATTTTTTTTGCATTATTAATATACGGGAAGTTATAAACCTTGGCAACCGCTATAAAGTCAATTTTACTTTCCGCAAAACGTTGAGTTTATTGAAACTCCCAAATGCTGGTTGATAAAAAAAAAACCCAAAAATGTGTTACAAATAAAGTTAAAAAATGCTTAATTTAGCGACAAATTACAAAGACTAAAAACTTATTTAAAAGGCGTTATATAAATTAATAATTGATCTACTTTTTCTCTTGAAAATTTTTTATGTTAACTATGTGCGTTTACTGTTAAGAGTTCTACTGAGAAGTCACCGATTAATGCGCACTTCGTTAAAAGTTTAAATTAAAGATTGCGTGTACTCAACGCGCAAGAACCAATTATACTTGTTATAAACATGTTAATAATATGCGCATGTGAGCAGAGTATAAAAAAACCTTAAAAAGACGTACTCACTCGAGAGATTTTATCTGTCGGGTGCAGTGCGAAGTAATTCAGTAAAATAGTTCTACTCCTACCTTCCTTACATTATTAATTAAGGCGCTATAGTGAAATCGTAAAAGCTAAGCGAAGTGGAGGTTTAGAATAACAATGTGAAAAAAAGAGTTGTGTAATATACACAATTTTCGACTCTAATTTTTTTAATGAAAGTCTAACATTAAGGTCATTGTTGCGATAAGTTTATAACTTTTAGCTAGACTGTCAAATTTCGTATAGAATATTTCCCTGTAAAACTAATTTTGCTTTAGTTTTAATAAATTTTACAATTTTCTAAAACTCCAATCTTTTATAATAACAACATTCATAAAGTCACTCTTAAACGTACAGAAAATTTTTAAAGATGTTAATAAAACTTTAAGTTTCTTTTAGTTAAATTTATCATTATATAATAGAATTTTTAATGATCAAAAATTTATATATATATAAACGTATAAAAAAAATTATTATAACTGATAATTAACACTGTATTTAATAAAAATAATTTAACTTAGTAAATTTTTTTTCTAACTTCTGAACAAATATAAATTTTACTAAATTTTTTTGATAATAATTGAAATTATAATAATTTCGTTTGTAATAAAAAACCCTAAAAAGCGTTTGACTAAATCTTTAATAAAATTTTTTATATAATATTAATGAATACTAAATAACTTTTTTTATACGACTATAACATTTCGAAATAATTAGAAACTTAAATAAAAGTAAATTTATTAGAAATAAATTCAATCAATGCTGGTGTTCATAAACTTTCTTTTAGCCAAACACATCCACCACTAATAAAAATAAATAATATATTAATAAAATATTAAAAAATAAACTAATAAACATTAATTTAATAATAATTTTTATAAAAAAGTAAAATAACATTTACGAATAATAAATTCAATATTTTATTTATAATTAATAATACAATTAAAAAATTGTTTTTTTAAAAATTAAAATTTATAAACAAAATTACTTTTTGTCAACTAAAATATATTTTTTAATATTAATAAAAATAATGAGAACTGCATATAAAAACTTTAGTTATAATAAATTAAATATTTATTTATTTCAGAATTAATAATTTATATAGAAAACTTTTTTAAATGCAAAAATTTTAAATTTTATAAAAAGAGTAATAAAAAGTTAGAAATTATAAAATTTGATAAATAATTACAAATGAAATTATATTTTTTAGATTAAAAATTATTTTTACTACAAATTTAAAAAAAGTAGAGAACATTAAAAATTTGTCAAGCAAAATTATAAATGTTGAAAATTATGATCATCCAATAATTCTATATAAATAAATTTGAAAATTTTACATATAAAGTATATTTTAATTCTTTGATAAATTCAAACTGTTTAAACAAAAATAATTATGATAAAATTAATTAATAAGTTGACATGGATTTACTCTAACTAATTGCGTCATTAAAAATATAAAAAATTAATATTTTTACAAATTGATTTTATTATAAAGAAAAAACAATACTTAAATTTACTTATAATTACTAAAAATTATTTCTAAAAAAACTTTTGTTTGCATATTTACTATTTATTACTATATTTATTACATTCAAAATTTTAATACACTCTTAAATTTATTTTTTACAGTAAGATAACTCTAAAATTTTATTAAATTAATTAAAATCTTATGCCGGGATTTTTTTTATGGCCAGCAGCCAACAAATCGCTTTTCTGAATTTTCTAAGTTTTATAATTTTATAATAAATATAAATTGTAAATCAAATTTTTGAATTATTTTCTAATTGCGAAGTTTGCAACAGAAATCTATAGTTCTTACTGTTTTATATTTTTTAAAAATTAATTTTTTTAATTTTTTATAAGTATTAGAATTAGAAAAGAATTTTATAATTCGTATAGTAATTTACCTTATCCGGCTTGTCATCTTTAAAGACAATTGGAACAAATCGCTCAACAACTTCACTTCGAATTTGCTGAAAAAATTGTCGTAGAGTTTCTGTAAAATTTATATTTTTAAGAAAAAAATTATCAAACTTTTTAGTTAAATAATAAAAAAATATTTTAATTAATAAAAATTATAAAAGTAATGCCTAAAGTTTCTGTGGATTATAATAAAAACTTCTGTAAAAATTACTACACGAGCTAATTATTAATTTATTTATAAGAAATTAATAAATAATGCTTCGAAGTTTTTGTGAAATAAAAAAAGTACAAAAAAATTCTGAAAATAATATTTTCAAAAAGTAGGATATTAATTATTTAATATAGAAGCTAAAAATAATGGCTCAATATTTCGGTAAAATTAAAAAATGAATTAAACAAAGCTTTTGTTATAAATTGTTTATAAGAAAATAATTTAAGTAATCAATAAGGAATCTATAAATAACTTCAAAGTTTTTATAAAAATAAAAAGAAGTTTTCAGTTGAGATAATTATAGACTTAATTTTAATAATTAATTAATCAAAAATTAAAAAATAACGCTTTAAAGTTTTTTAAAATAAGAAAAATATATAAACAATAAAAATAGTTGGTAATGATAATATAAAAATTAAAATTTTCTAATAAATAATCTTACTTTAAAAGAGGTTGTCTAAAAGATTCGAGAAAAATATTAAATTATAAAAATTAAAAAAAAAAATTCGAGACAATAACGTTAAATATTAATTTTAAGAGTATTAAAAAACATAAAAGAATAAATCTTCTGTTAAAAAAAATGATTAATTAGACGTAAAAAGTTAATAAATAAAATTTAGAATTTAGTTTTTAGAGGAATAAAAGAAATTAAAAAAAAATTAATTAAAGTTGTAAACAAAACTCTTTCATGCATTAAATTAAAAAGGTCGAAAAAATTCTAAAAGAAAATATTAGAAAAATGAAATTATTTACTAAAAAGTACAAAAATAACATAAAAAATAAATGAAAAAGTTTAACAAAATTTAAATTATTATAAAAAAAACAGTAAAATAAATTTTAGTTATAAAATGGACTAAATAAAGTAATTTATATTTTATTATAAGAAGGTTCTGGAAGCAAAAAGATCAATAAAAATAACTTGACGAGAAATTTTAACTTTTTAGTAAACTAATCTATAAATAAACTTTTAATACAATTTATCGTGTAAAAAGATTTAAAAAGTAGATAAATGGCATATAAAGTAGACAAAATTTAATAATTTTTTATTAAAAAACCAGTAGAATAAATGGAAGAGAAAAAACATTAACATTAAAAGTTAATTATAGAATAAAGCTAAGTTCGAATAAAATAGAAATTAAAAGAATTAAGTACAAGTAATTAAATATTTATAAAAAAATTAAACTTATGGTATAAATTTTAGTTACAAAAACTGATATAAAAAATTTTACAAAAAATATGAATATTTTAGTAAATAAAAGTTTTAATTAATTGTGAAAATATATAAAAAATCAAAGAAAAATTAACATTCTAAGCTAATCAGAGTAATATACAAGATCTAATTATAAAAAAACCAAACAAAATTTTAGTTATAAAGAAAATAAAATATATCTTTACAAGCTTTTAAACTTTCCAGTAAAAAAAAATTTTATATTTTAACAATAGCACAAGAAATTGACCAAAATGTCAATATATAAAATAAGATAAAAAATTGAAATTTAAATAATAAAAATAAACTTGAAAAAAAAAATTTAAAAAAGAATCAAACTTTAACGGAAAAAAATATATTTAATTTATTTTTCTTAAATTTTTTATTAATAACATTTTTTTGCAAGACTTGATGCCTTTTTCTAAGATATTACTTTATAAGTATTGCGTTTTTTCACTATAATCTACATTATTTTAAATTTTATTTCTATATGTATTCACTTCTTAGTTAAATTTTATTTTTAATTTTAATAAAATATTGAAATAAAAACAAAAAAAATAATAATTGAAAATAATATAATCTAATAATTATAAATTCATAAAATATATAAATAGTATTGTATAAGCAAAAATAATACCGGCTTCGCTATGGTTCTTTGGAGAAGAATAAAGAGAGTTCAAAGGAAATGAAGGGTCCCCTTAAAAAAAAATTAAATTTATAATATTAAAAATAGAGTTCCATTTATAAATTTTATAAAATATGAACATTTGCCGAATTTTCTTTTAATATTTAGTATAATGAAATTACATAATTAATTCTTAAGAATAACATAAAATTATATAATTCGCAAACCTGCATGAATTAATTAAAATTTAATAAATCTTAGAATTTTATTGTTCTATAATTTTTAATTTTTTTTATGTAAATATTTTTTAAATACAATATATTTCAAAAAAATTTCTTATTTAGAACAAATAAATTACTTTTAACAACTTATTAATTTATTTGCGTTTAAAAATATTAAAAAATTAAAAAAAGTTTCTTTTAATGTAGAAAATTGCATAAATTAATTTGATAACAAAAACTCATATGAATTAGCAGACATTTCTTAATAAAAAAAATTAGAGTAAAATCTAATTAGCAAATTTATAAGTTTTATCAAAAATTTAAATTATATTATTGTAAAATTATAATTAATGTTTAAAGTATCTTTATAAAATCTTAAAGTATAATAAAATCCACATAAAATGTTTTTATCAAAAAAAATAATTACATTTAACCATTAATTAAAATTTGTTTTGAGTTAAAAATATTATAAAAAATTTAATTTAATAACGTCAGAAAAATTATTATATAATTTCATATAATTTTTTAGAGAATTTAAAATTTTTAGCGTTACAAAACTTTTAGTTAAAAAAATATCAATTATAAAAAAATACATAAAAGTTCATTATACAATATTACTATATAAATTTATTTAAAGAAAATTTATATAACAGTACAAATTACCACTTTATCACATAAATTCAATCTAATTTCAAAAAGTTAAAAGTTTTAAAAATAAACTCAACGCCAATCCTTAAAACAAATGCAGATTACAACTATAAGTTTGAGTGAAAATAATTTTAAATTAAATTCAAGATTATATTTTATAAAACTTTTACTACAAAAAAATTTAATAAGAATTTCCATACATTATTACAGAATAAGTAAATTAAAAAAATAATAACTGATTTTAATATTATAATATTAATCAAAACTTTTGAAATATATAAGATCTATCTAAAATAATTTCTTTAAAAAATTTTTTTTATTTTTCAAAAATAAAACTCGCACTATTTAAAATATTTCGCTTCATTAACAAAAATAAAATTATAAAAAAATGATAATCTTTTATAATTAAAAAAAATAAATATAAAAATAAAATAAATTTAAAATATGAAAAAGAAAATTAAAAGTTTTATTAAGTTAAAAAAATGACTAAATATAATTTCAAATCTCTAAGCAACTTTTTATAAAAAAATAAACTGAAAAAATTTATAAATTATATTGATTATTAATTATAAAAATTACTATTTGAGTTTAAATATATAATAAAAATTTAACTTGGCTTAATATAATGTAATTATATTTAAATAAAATGATTAAAGCAGAATTAAAGAAAATATGTTAAATTTTTTTATTATTAAAATTTTAATAATAAACTTCCTTTTTTTCTATAAATTATTATTAAAACAAAAATTATAAAATTTAATTTTTAACAGAATGACTTAAATATAATTTAAACATAACAAAGTTCATAAAAAAAATTAAATATTAATGATTATAAAAATACTTTTATTACTTTATTAAATTATATATTTTGTTAATAAAATAAATATAATAAAACTATTTTATGCTAAAAAAAAATTTATAATACGAAAATTATATAAAATTAATTAACAAAATTACTAAAAACTCACAAAAACACCAAAACATTTTTAATTATAATAAATGAAAAATTAAACTTTTATTGCTTTTAATTAATATTATAACTCATAAACTTTTTTTAATGTAATTTAATTATTGAAAAAGTTTAAAAAAAAAAGTATTAAAAAAAGCAATTATAAATAATATTATATTATCATTATTATTCATAAAAATTATATTTAATTTCTACTGTTTATTTAGAAATTATATGTAAAATTTTTTTTAAAGTGCTTTATAGATTTTTTAAATTACTAATAAAAATTGAATTATTTAAAAAAATTTTAGTAAAATTTTTTATTAAACAAAACTTAAAAAAAAAAAATGTAACTTCACTCTTTTATCAATTATCAAAGAAAATTTTAAATTAAACTAATTAAAAAAAATTTAATTCACTCCGCATATAGCATTATTAATTTTCTGTAAACTATAAGACCAAATTTTTTATCATATACCAAAAAATTAAAAAAAAATTGTTAAAAAAATATATTTATAATATTCCTTTGGAGAATCAAAAAATGTAAAGAATAATAAAAAACTTTAAAATATAACTACTATATAAAAATATTAAAGCAAAAATATAACATAATTTTTTCTGAAAAGTCCTTTAAAAAAATTACAATTTCTTTATTATTAAAAACTTTGCAACAAACTTTTGATAGAGGTATTAACGTAAAATTTTAATTAAATAAATTAAACTTAATTATTTTGCAAATCAAATTTTTATTAAATAATAACTTTACTATTTTTAAAGAAATTTGTATAATTTAATAGAAAATTACGAATTCTTAATGGTTGCATGCAGAATTCTAAATAAATTAAAAAAATATATATTTCTTTTAAATACTAACAACTACTGCAAACACAATTAGTTCATAATAAATAGAGACACTTTAAAAAATACAATACTTTTTATAAAATTTAGTAAAGTACTATTTATAAAAAATTATTTTGTAATCAAATTGTAACTCAAAAGGTTAATCAAAAGTATTTATAATATAACTAACGAAGAACGTAATCCGTAAGAAAAAATTAATTTTTTATTATATAAAATGGCAAATACATAAATTTGGTTATTTCTATTATTGCACTTGACCCTACAGTAGTCGTGGGGGGCCTCACAGACCTGAAAATTATTTTGTCTTCTAAATTTTCAAATTATATATAAGTTAAAGTTTAGTATGACCTGTATCCTAATATCTCCATAAACAACAAGTGTCCAAAAATTAACTGTATTTTTTATTAATATAAAAGTAAAAAATTAAAAACTCAAGGGGCCTGAGAGACCTACTGCGACTACTAATGTCTAATAAGAGGTGCGACTACTGTAGGGTTAGAAAGAAAATAAATAGAAATAAAAATATGCTCCAAGCTCCATTCTTTAAAATAAAAATAAAATAAAAAAGAGCAGCGAATAATAAAGAAATTCCTACAACAGTAGTTGTAAAAGTCAACAGAAAAAAATAAATTTGTTTATAATCCTCACAAGAAAAATTCAGTAATTATAAAATATTTTCAAGAGGTTAATAAAAGAAAAACTGTATTAATTTTTCCGTAAACCTCAACTTTATTTTAAAAAAAAAAGAAACCTGGAATGGAGAAATTAGTAAGTGCTAGTGAGTTTAGTTGTTTCTTAGCTTCGTTAGCGGTGTTGCACTTCATGGTGGCAGCTAAACATGCTTGAATAAACAACGTTACATAAATCAAAACACGATCGGCAGGAGTTTTGATTTCGAATTGCTTGAAAAACACATTCGCCCGGTAATATTTAAATGCCTCGTCAATAACATCCTCAGTACTCGAGTCTATGAATTTTTTTTAAAAAAAGATATTGTATAGCCTATTAACTTTCGTAAGCCCATAGTGATAATAGTAGAAAAAAAATTCAAAATCTATTGTATTTTAACCTGCTTTAGGGGCTGGCCCTTTATAGGTAGTTCGCAAAGGTAACAATGAGAGGTTACTTAGCAATTGATAAGAAGTAGCATCAAAAGATGATTGATAAGCCTTTTAATATATAATAAAGAATTAACCTTTATCTTATAAATAAACTGTTTAATTGTAAGAAAAATAAAAATAAATATATACAGGCATTTGTGCGGAACTATATTAATGTAAAGCACAAGAGGTTAGAAGAGAGCGGTTTAAAAAAAAAAAGCTCGATGGAAGAGGGCAGTGCAACTTTAATTGTTACTTATTTAAGAAGATTACCGATTGTTTTTATTCGTTCTTTTACCACTTTATTGATAGGTAGATAGTAGTAATTCAACATCCTTCTTTAATTATAATTTATTCATTAACATTATCAGTTTATAGCACTTTCCTTTACTTCATTGTAAACTCTCAATTGCAAGCCAAACAAAATCAATGTTCTGTTCTTAGATAACTAATACTGATGCCTTAGCTCTTTTATCTAACCATAAAAGTTTTTAATCATTTTTAATATTTCAAACCTAAAAAACACCTCTAGGTCTTCTTTAAGTTTATTTAGCATCATAAAACTTTACAGGTAATGAAAAATTAAATTAATATCAGAAAAAAAGATATAGAATTTATAGAAAGAATTAATTTCCCAATTTTTTGATCTATTCAAGTTAAAGTTAAATCTTCTTTTCTTATCTCTTCCAAAAAAAAATTATACTAACAATCCAAATTTCAGAACAATAGTTCTGAGTGCTTTTAAACAAAACCTATAACACCTTCATTAATTGTTAATATGTGTGTTGTATTTCACTTTAACATGTCTGGAAGGTGCATAAAAAAAGCTTTGCCGTTCCAGACGGTTCGAAGTATTATGAGTGGTGTTCGTCGTTTTCAAAAAACCACTAGGGGAAAGGATGGATAATAGAACAACAATTTACATTTTTTTCAATCTGATATAATTCAAAATTTATTTTATTCTTTGGAGATCTTGCCCAATCTGGTGTCTAAGAGAAAGCTGTGTTCGAAACCGTTTGTTAAATATACCTCGGGGCATCCTAACCCTTGCAAGATAGTACACGAGGATTGCTCCTTCTAATGCATTAATAATGCCCACAAATGTTATTACTCCTTGTTCTCCAGAGGGCACCTGTGCAATCACTTGTTTTTTACCTTTTATGGTTACAACTTTTACCGGTCTCATAACTGTCGTTACCGAACAGGTCTAATCGTATATTTGTCATTTAAAAAAAAAATTTTTTTTAGAAAGTGCTTCACCCTTTGCTTATTTAAAGCAGTACTTCTCTCATGAGGCCTGTATTTATGGTTTGGTAGTAATAAATCATTATGGGGAGGCATGATTCCTTTCCTCCACTCGACAATAAAATTTTTCCTAGAAAAAATTGCGAAAAAAAAACAAGAAAATATCCTATTAGCCATTTCATTACATTCCAATTAGAAGGATACTTGCGTACGGGTAAAGCCTTTGCAAATTCATATACTAGCAGTTATAATTTGATTGAGCTCTTTAATAATCCGCGAGCTCGACATCCTCATGTCTCGATAATACTTGCTTAACCGCATATTTGTTTCGGATATATTCTTGTTTCGGTTTCTTTCACTTCTGCACCAGGATCTGAGTCTACATATCTGTCATTCTGATTAAGCTTGATAATATAAACAGTTTACTTTGCAAATTATTGCGATTAATCTCACAATTTCTAGCCCCTTCACTAGTACTGTATTCTTTACTCAAGCATTCTTTTATTGCTTATTTCATTATTTGGGTTTTACTCCAAACTATCTAAAGAATAGATTTTAAATTGAATCTACCACTTAACGGTTGGTTGAAAGTACTCCGCAAGCACAAAACAAAAATAGGTGACGGTGGGTTAATGTAGGGTGAATCATTGTTTTGAGAAATACGACTGCCTACTGGCAAACATAATATAGTATTACCCATAAGCGATAGTTTAAAAAATTACATCTCTAATAATGAAGAAACTCCATAATGTGTTATAAAAATCCTTACCTTGTACTACTTGAAAACAAGAAACACACACTAAACTAACAAAGCACAAACATATGTAAGAGCCCAGTATACACTTCTTGCACCAAAAATTGTGCGGATTATTCAAACGATATTTAATAAATATTACTAGTTTAATCCACCTTCTCCCCTATATACTTTTTTTATTATTTCATTAAAATGCTGAAAAATACAAGTGTAACTACTACCAACTCAATGATACGGTAAAGGTTGTATCAACATATTACTTTACTTTTTGCTATTAATATTTAGAAATATGTAATGCGTTATACAAGCATATTATTTATACATTTTACTATAAGACAAGTAGTCAAACGTAAATAAAACTTTATTTCAGGTTGTCAATAATATTCATGTTTACTCAAAAAACCTAAAAACTAATAGTAATTCTTTTCAATATCCAAAATAGTGTTATTGGTCCTACCCACAATAGACTTTGCCTCTTTTTTTAATACTTTAATAATTAGTATATGTGAGTGTAATTGTGAAGGTGCAAAGCAAGATATTATCGATTAGTCTGTTTTTCTATCACAGCAACGCTATAAGCGCTACAGTTCGACTAGTGAACTACGTTGTCAAGGGGTAGTACTTCCACTTTAACGAAAAACTAAATACATCGTTAGAACACAATGTAAAACAGTAGAGTGAGACTAAAACAACAAAGTTCTCTATAAAATAATTAATTGTAATGAATTTTTATGCTGATAATAAAAAATTCTCTTTCCGAAAATGAATTAACTATATAGTTGCAAAAAGTGAGATATTGACTTAACAAATGATATACAGATCTCTAAGACTGAGTAAATTACTAAAGAATTAAACAACATTCTGTCGAACAGTTTTTCCCGGAATTCAAAGAAAGATATAATTTTTTTTTGCAAGGGACGAGATACCACCTTGGCAGACAAATGTATTATGTGTTAATTGTAAACGATGTAAATACATATTAATTATATTAAAGCGTAGGTCTGTTAGCACTTTAATAGTAACCAACAAGAGATTTGTTTTTTTGGACTTTTAAATTTTTTTAATATAAAACTTTATTATTATTAGAAGGGTTGCGCTCGTTCTTAACTTGTTGCTATAATTAGGGAAATAGTGGGAATTTTTTTCGAGAAAAAAGTAAGGCCAAACAGAGAATCGAACGTTATGACTATAAAATGGTATTTTTTTTTTCTATCAGAGTTGCCTTATCGTTAAAGATGTTAATATACTTACAAAAAAGTAAATGAGTTACACCTAAGGACTTCTTGGGATGTTATTTATATACAAAAAACGCATAGGTTCGGTATACCAGAAGTATCAGTTGTTCAGAATTTTTTAATAGAAAAAATTCAATTCAGTACGCCAAAAAATGTGAGTTAAAAAATTTTAAGTTGATTGGTAAAAAAAATTTTTTTTTAAATGGGGTTTGCAACAACTTTTTAAAGGAAAGCTTTTTTTGTCATTTTTTAATAACCAGATTTCTGTTGACTCTGGTGGTGCTAAGCAAGAGCCAGTAACTAAAAGCTTTAATAGAAGCATGAAATAATAATAATTATTCTAAGAGAATTTTAAAGTAATGTCATTGAATTTAAACTTGAAATTATAGTCCGAGCTTGCAGTTGAGATATTTTTCCCTTAATTGTGGGTTTCACATGTTTAAAGGTTTCGAAACCTTGTATATTACAGGCAAACAAAGTAGAAATTTTAATGTAGGTTTTTTAAAAATTCCAGAAAGTTCTGTAAAATTTATTTAATAGTTTTGGAATCACCTAACAAGCACAGTGCCCATTACAAAAAAAAAAATATAACGAACGAGTCACCATATTTATACTAAGTATACTAAGTGCCTTAATATGTTGAAACCTTACATAAAATTTACTGGTTTTGTTAGCTATAGAAATTTATATACTTCATCTGTAGATTATTACTTTGCTTAATTAAGAGAGCCTCATACTCGACATAAGTTTTTAATTTTGCCCATCTAGTGTTTCCTTTACAGTTACAAATTTGGCGAGCTTATTGTCCCTTAACTGAAATTTTTAAAGGGGTAGTGGTAATTATAAAATTACTAAATTAGAAACTACACTCACTCAGTAGTATAAAAGTTTCCCTATCACCAGAACAGGTTCAATAAGTAAAGGCCAGAAAAGTAAATGCTGCCTTATGTATACTTGGTATATCATGCTTAATTAATTTAGTTATCTAATGCCCATGAAATAAATTGAATTGCAAACAGAGTTTTTATTTTAAAAGTACACTATCTTATGTATGCTACAACCCTTTTAGGTATAAAAAGAAATTAAGTAGTAGGTACGCCTTCCTCCCTATTATAAGACGCCGCTGCTACATAAAATGTTGACGAGAAATTGATGTTAAGTCGTCTTCACAGATACTTAAAAAACAGGTTAACTGCTAATCACAATAGTTGCCAGGAGCGGCCGACAGATGAATTAAAATATTCTATTACCTACCACTTCCGACTTTTAATAACGGCGTGATAACGGCTGAAAGTGACAAAAATAAGTAAACGCCCTTTGGCGACCCTCTCGCTTTTCTGTGCATGCCTTTAACTTGGTCTGCCTCTAAAGATGAAAGTAAGACACCGCTTAAATCTTTAACCATTCGCAATAGACATACCAAAACGAGAACAGCAGGTGAAAACGTTTTTATAATCTAATAATTTCTCTGCGGTAAGCACGTGATGAGAAGTCGCGCCGATGGCGATTAACCAACACTTTCCAATTTTGCAAATTCTGCAATAGCGCTTGGCTACTTATCAAGGCGGTAAAAATAATCGCTGTTGTGCTGTTACCCAGGTTTTGAGAGCTTTCCCAGACTCATCTAACAGGTTAAACACGTAAAACTATCGTACCAGGACCAAAAGTTATCGTCGTAGCTTAGCGGTTAAAAGCATGAAGCGCATACTTAAGGTCGCGGGTTCGAACCCTACCAACGTGGTTTACTTTTTTGGTCATATGGTTGCACCATCATGAAGTCTAAAACTCATTATCGCTCCGTTAGTCTACGTTCAGTGTGGGCATAACTGCGAGGGCTGTTCTACTACGCCGACTTGAAAAGTTAGTAGAACAAAAGAATCCCTTTCATTTTTCCCAATTTGGATTTGAGGTAACTCGACGGCATAATAACTTTTGCGCTCTGATAAATGGAGAGCTCGGAACTTTAATTTTTAACAATCAACGGGGGACGTCTTTATTGACGTTAAAAAAGACTTTTTCCGCATTTCGTACGAAGGCTTCCTACATGAATTCCCGCGCATTAGGTAAACTCGTTAGCCTCACAACAAGCCCAGACCGTTTATTCAACAGCATCTTTTAAATGAGAATGAGCACTGCGAGGTCGTTATACGCTCGACTTGCAGCTGGCGTCCCGCGCTCTCTGTCATTACCCCGGCTGTTCGCTGAACATGCGAGACATTCTTGCGAACCATCACACGTCCATCGCACTTTACGCCGGTGACACTGCTGTCTACGCGTCCCGGAAATACCTACACTTAACTGGTGCCGACAACGGGAATGTTGTTAATGCAGAGGAATAAAGCAGGACAATCTCAATTCAAGATGTAATGCACTACTTCCAGCTCTAACACGTAATGTTAAAATCCATGAGGCTCCCCAGTAAGTTACTTGGGCATCATTATCGATAAGTGATTTTGGTTAAAGGCACTCTACCCCTTTTCTGTGAGCAAAAAGCGTAATTTTTCAGTTCATAAAACAGTGTTTGCATAAGTTGTGTGCGCGCCCTGTTATGGCACAATCTTGTGCTGTAACAGGGAAATATTTGACGATTGCAGTTCTGCAAACGCAACAAACAAGCATTTGCGACGGAAATGCAACTACTCCTTCTTTGAAACGTCTTGGTAGACTTCTAAATCACAGTGGGTTTAAAAATCTATAGAATAATCTTAAGCGAATACTTTGGAGGGCCTCCACGTAGCACTTATGGCGCACTATTTTATTTGTACACATCTATATTTGGATGTATAAAAAAAACGATGATATGGCTAGATTCCTTGGCTATCATCTTTTCGACCGAAGATGTGTGTTGTCGCCGGCTCAGTGGTTAGAGCATTGTCGCGCAATCTTAAAGTCGCATTTGGCTCCCGTCGGTGCCAACTCGCATTTTTCTGGTGTGGTGGCTTAGTTTACAACTTCAAACAAAATTCTAATAGTTACTGCATATCTATGCTGATTACACTATAACATTCCACCTTAAATCCCCTCTGGCCTATACTACACGAGCATTGGCCTTCTGAATCGTGCGTTATATTTATTTTAACTTACAACTCTGATTTGGTCTTAACTAGAGCTTGAAGTGTATCACGTGGACAGCGATAACATCCCTGTCCCATGGTTTGAAAACGAACTTGCGCTCGCCAGCAGGCGATTGTCTCGCTAATCGGTTATAAAGGGCAAGGACGGCGTTTAGGCCTAGCTGGAGGTCCCAGTGTAGAACTTCATTTCGCACAAACCACGACGCGTTTAGTCGCACTTATGCTATTACCGCTATATTGCCATGGCGTCATAGGCCCAAGCAACAAACGAGTATATTATCATTGGCTAAATGCAAGACACACAATCGTCGTTTGTTGAGCAGCGAAAGCTTTCTCATGCTGCATAGTAAAAGATAAAACGCGTTGATCACTGCTTTATCTGTTTCACTAAAATTTGCACGATGGAATTTTCGCGCCATCGGAGGTCAAGGGTGCCAACAGGAGAACAAGGACACGCTTTTTTGCTTACATCTTTTTTTACTTTTGTAAGCTACATTTCGGAAGTGATTTTTTTGGTAGGGTACTCTCCTATGCCATATGATTTAGTCAAATTTTTAACCATGAGTTCAAAAATGTTGATCTCGTTTATGCTTTGTTAGCCCAGAACTTGAAGCTACAAAAAAAATTAAAAAAAAAGTCTAACCAACATATTCTAAAGAGTCGAAAAAAATGTGTTACAAGCTTGTTTGAAGATGATTAAAGATTTAACTTTTATCTTTTTTAAAAAAAATCCTATGCATAAAATGCACGTGACAAGAGTTAAGTTTAAAATATTCACCAAAAAGATCAAATGTTTTTTCTCTCTAAGCACACTTACGTAATTAGTCTCTCCTTACTTATAGTATATTAGAAATTTACATACAGGAAAGTCTCCTAGGGATTGTACTTTCGAACTAAACTTATTATTAAAAATAAGAAATTTATAATACTTTTTCTTTTATTAAAAAAAAGCGCCTGACTTCTCTTGTTTGCTTCCACTTTTAGTGATACAAACTTAAAATTGTTGGGTAAACAAGGTTATCACTCTGTTTCACTATTTTTTTTAATTCTCTAAATTGTAAAACTGAAAGTATAAATAAAAAAAAGTAAAATACAAAATTGCTTAAAACTTTAAGAAAGAAACCTCCTCCGACACAACTATAATGGCCGAACAAAACCCTTTTTGTATCAAGTTAATGCACGAAAGGACCCTTGAAAAGGCATTCGCGGTATAAGAAAGAGTTAATTAATAAAGCTAGTAAAAGGAAGGGGTTGGGTTACTATCGTTCGTGTTCGCCACAGAAAGTTTAGACTTTAAATTTAAGTAGCAACGTACTTTTTTAGTTACAAACAAAATACGCTATGGCCCTAAAATACCCGTTACAGTGCAGAAATCATATGTCTTGTGTAAAGGAAGAGGACAAGACATTTACCTTGCCAGAGTAAGTAAACATTGTTCTTATTTCGTTAAAGATATACCGCTACTTCTATTAAAGCATGAAAACGGTGAACTTTGTGGGGAGAACCCTATCATCTCTTTCTCAATCAATGATAAACTTTCTTCTTAAATTAACGGAGAGGAACATGAAAAAGATGTACTATAATTTTCCGTTTTATAAAAAAAGGGTCAATGTAATCATTCCAGTTCGGTACTAAGCGGTAGAGAAGTATCGATAGAATTACCCAAAAAATTCAATCCTTTTTTTTGTTTTATATATCTATGTATATATAAGATTACCCACGAAGGTTCAAACTGACTATGATACGCACATTAGGTACACCTTTTTCAATAAGGGCTGGATAAGAGACGAAAAACTTAAAGAACTAACAAGTTAATATAGTAAGCTACAACTTGAACAAGTATTCAATTTTTTTTTTCTTAATAAAAAAAGAGCGCTACTCGTTCTACGTAATTGCATATGAGGATAACAAAACCCCTATAGGTTTTGCACAATATAGATTTGAGCTCAATGAAGAAAAAACTAAAAGCATTCTGTACTGGTAAATAGAAAAACTATTAATAACCTGAAAACTAGTGTTTGGTGCTATAAATACAAACTATAGTCGTATATAAATTAAAACAGTTATCACTTATAACTAACTCCATGATATTGTTTGAAAAGCTACGAATTACAGTTGCAGCGCCGCTATCGAGGCGTGGGTCTTGGCCGGCACATGATGGGTCTTCTCGAGCAAATTGCCCACGGCTTTTTATTAAAAGAAATCACTTTGACCTGCCAGAAGGGTAACTCACCCCTATTCTTAAGCTGTTCCAACTAACGAATATTTTTTTTAGCAAATAAACGCGCCGAACGGTTTTACAGAAAAACTCTGGGTTACAAAACAGACACACACGATCCAGGAGATCCGGGATATGTAATACTTACTAAAGCGCTTCCTCCAGCGAGGTAACTTCATACAATAAAGGTAATAAAAAAAAATGGTGATCTCACGGGCCCCTGCGACGCCATAGCCAGTGGTTGTAATCCAGCGTATAGCAGTCCGTCCTCCGCTGAAAACGACTGTACCGGCTGTCAAACCGCCAAACCCGCTGGGCACACATAAGCCTGGGCGGATACTGCTGCCAGCAGGGAACATAGTAAAAAGGCTGGCTGCCAGGCTCCTGAGTACGGTCGCGGCAGTGTAGGTCTCCTAGCCTGCTCTTATCTTTACGCTCATCCTTGGCACATTCTCCTTCCCTCCTATAATACGGGTTCCTTGGGTCGGTAACGATAATGCCTGGAAGAGGCGGAACATTAAAGCCAGGATAATCCACGGTTTGCTGCAGCGAAGCACGGGGCTCTCCAACACGTTGCACCAATTTAAAGTAGCCCGGGGGGTATCCGTGGATCAGCATTTGGGAGATAAAAGGAGGCAAGTCTGTTTCTTTCATCCCCAACCCGTTCGCAAGCTTTTTAAAACAATTAAAAATATAAAACTGGTAACACCAATGATCTGACCTCTTTCGAGATAACTCCCGGCTTCAAATGCCCGTAAAGTAAATCAGTATGCTCTGTATATCGGAGAAAACGAGGGGCTCGGGTTTGATTAAATTCCTACAACAGATAAACAAAAGAAAATACTTTTTTTTAAAAAAAAGCTAACGTTTCTGTTTTTAAAAATTTCTGCAAAATTTCTGGCCTGTTGGCACCCGACAAGCTCATGACCTTCACTACCACAATTAAAACATTTTTTAGAAAACATCCTATCAACCCTTCGATTATTATCATTAGTAAACAAGCCAAACTTTTAAGTATAGATCCGAAAAACTTACTTTTCATAATCATTAAACTTGCTGCTGTAAATATAAGGGAACAGAAAAGTAGTAAAACGAGTGTACTTAATTAAGCCATCTTCTTCGTCGCACGACTTCAGAGCACCAGTTTTATCTAATATATATGGGTTTTCCCCTTCTTCAGCCGGACTAAACTTTTCGTCTTAGTATATAATAGCTTTTTAAAATTATGTTACAGGTAAAATAAAAACTGTAACCTACCAATTATAGGTTACAGTTTTTACTAACTACATTAGCCTAAGTCAAGCAGAAACAATAAAAACCTTTCAGACTTAACTCGTTCTGACTATAAGATCTTAGGCGCCTAATTGCTTCAACGTTAGTGTCCAAAAATAACATTGGTACTACAAGAGCTTTATAATTAATTTTTTTTAAATAAACTATTTAATAAGTAACCATTTGAAGTTGCCAGAGAAAATAATTCCTTCGGACAGTCAAGTTCCTGAATTAGAACAAAAGTGGTCCTCAGAAATTCTATTGAGATGAACCCCTTTTCGTTTGCCTATAATAAGAAAAAGCGGAGTAAAAAAAAAAAAAGAATAAAAGGCTTAAGTTATGGATAGACTTTACGCTAACAGGAGACAAACCTTTAGTAAGTTTTCAAAAAAGTCATCCTCTTTGATATACTCGTCAGAAAAGTAATAAAATAATAAATAACTGAGCCTATTTACTATCCTTGAAAATCTAGTGGATAACTATCAAAAAATTAATGGCGGTACATAATTAAAGCAATCGAACTTGAACAAATTTAGCTATAATAAAATAAAAGACTAGATCAACGTCTACACGAACAGAAGAGTTTAAATCGTCCGGAATGTAAATTTCTCCGGGTTCCAGTTCGTAGTTAATCTCTTCAGCATTGGCACCCTCCATCAAAAGTAAAACGACGCCGTAAAATAATAAGAGCTGCCCGAGCGAATGTATAGGGAATTTTACCAGCCTTTGACAGCATGTAAATTCCATTGGTGGCTATAGCAGTTGCACTAATAACCCAAGCAAGTGGTAGACTAAGAGTAGTGCCAGACAATAGACTAATAAATAGGCAAAAGACCAATAAAGTACATTGTAAATTAGAAATAACAGTTATGGAAGCCTTGGAATTCTTCAATAGCCCTCTCGAATTCCCTACATCGTATATTGAAACGACTCGTACTGATCTTGAGGAACACTGAAAAAGAAGAGAACTAAAAATAAAGTTAAACTACGCAATTTTTAGTAAAAAGATAAAAGGATAGAAGAGCTATAAATGGTTTTTAAGTTTAGATTTCATTCCTGCAACCACCAATGGAAATAGATGATTTACGATATTTGGAAAAAGCTAGCAGGTTTGCTTTGTAATTAGCAAATTTATATGAAACTAGTATAAATATTACAAGCCAAATTTTATGTCTAACATCAACAGTAAGACATTGTGATGAAGAATATATTAGATAGAGCATGGATAGAGAACTAAAGCTACCAAAAGGTAACTGGCTATTACAAACTACTCCCGACGTCAAAGCTTTACTGCAACTTAAATTTCACAAATTTACATGGTTTTCATAAATATTCCCACCTTTTTAAGATGTAAGTGCCTATCATATTAGCCCATTGTTATTAAGATTAAAAGAGTTAAAGATAAAGAAAGCATCCGAAGCATCCCCTTTCGACAACAGTTAGCTTGTGATTTCTTTTATTCAAGTCAACAATTTCTACTCTTATTTCAAGAGGTAATAATTCTGCCTAACACTGCTTTTTTTAATCGGCATGGCAGAGTTATTTTAAATAGCGAACTGAAGATAGCACTATTAGCAGTTGTTGGCGAACGATTATTTTTTTCGTATTTTTTTGCTTAAGTCATACACATATCTTATAACTTTGAAAAATATATGTAAAGAGAAAACGTTTATTGATATCTATTCGAATGAAGGCACCCAACGTTGCCTCAAAGTTAGAGTAGACGAGAGCAAATGGTTTTAAAAGATAAATACAGAGGGGTTACTTAAATACAGAAACACAATACTACACTATAACGCAAAACACTTACTCGAAACACAAAATCTCTACTATAAAAATATGGCCTGCAGAATAAATTAATTAAGTTAAGAATCGCTATTAATGAAAGACAGCGCTTATATTATTAATTACAAATGAAATATTAATTTAAGGTTACCTTAAATGGAATTAAATATAATTATACTAAAAAAATTTTGGTGGTTAAATGTACATGAATGGAAATTTTTGTAGGCGATAATAGAGTACGAGACCAATTAATTAAATATTCTTGAGATATTTTCTCATTTTATTTTACATGTATTTTTTTCAGACATATAAATTTTTATACATTAATTCTTACAAGTTATATATATACATAATTTATTCTACACATCTATATTTTGCCTCTTTTGAAGTATACAAATTATTAGATATTTAACCGAAGACAAATAAAAAAATGCCCGGCTTATGATATTAACAAAGCCGAGAAAATTATAGTTTCTCTGTACGTTGTTTATAACAAACATGTAACTTTTTACTAAGAAGCATGTTATTGGTGTACAACAATTATTTGCACTTTAAACGTTCTTGCTTGCTCCTCTCAGCATATCAAGAAGCTTTAATTCCCTCAGGATAAGCTATTAAGAGTGTTATTAATGGTTTGCTGTGGCAAAACTGCACAAAGAACTTGAACTTAAACTTAAATCAGAACGAGCATTAAATTTATAGTGTCTTAAGTGATAAATAATTATAGGAAAATAAATCATATGAAGACCTTCTAGCCTAGGCGTCAGCTTTCTCACATCCTTCTATACCCTCAAATAGTGTGTGTTCTATATTATAGGAAGTAGTGAAAACATTTTAATGTAAATGGCATGTGTTCTTTAGATAAATGAATAGATATACTGGTTATATAAAACTTAGCTCCAGTACCCTATTTGTTATCCCCTTCAATCATTGATTATATGCACGTGCCCATCTTTTCTTTTTTACTTGGCTTTTATAGATAAACCTTTCCCCACACCCGAAAGAAAGGTTAAGTTCAGTCATCATCCTTTATGGTTTGTTTGTCCTAGAGATAATGATGTTATGTATATTCAAGTATCAATTTATACAATATTCCATTGACTACATTAAGCACCTTTCTGGAAGTAAGGTAACCTTTTTGGTACTTGGTCATTAAAATTTAATTGAATATATATGTCACCAAATTAAACCAAAACAGCTAAGTATTAAATTGTAGTGGACATTACAGGTATAAAGCATTATAGAATAATAATATTTGTCACAATTTCTGCTGTTGATTAAGAATACTTATTACGAATTTAAAGCCAAAAATATAATATTTGCCTTCACTTATTGGCTGGTTGTGTTGTTCCCCAATATTTTTGTTCTTTATAGTTTAGGTCTCTTTAAGTTTATTTTACGCATTCTGTGCTTAAGGCCATTGTTAAAATAATATTTGCCGACTTGAACAAAGATCTTTACTTATATACCGTTCATAGAAAGTACAAACCGTAATTTTTGCATAATATAATAATTTAAAGATTATGTACAACGTAAGCTAATACCCTAGAGCTTGCCCTCTCTTCTATTTAAAGCGAATGTCAACTTTTGAGATAGGGCCTCCCGCATAATGTAATAAGTCTATTAAAATTTATTTGAAGGTTAGCCTATAATTTACATTTTAAGAGCATTAGGAGCCTCTCGTCCTTCTGAATTTTTTAGAAAGAGTCAAGACTCCGAAGTATAGACACTAGTCTCGACCCCTTAAATGAGGATTACTATTTAAGTTCCGAGATCTCTTATAAGACTGAGGTTTGCAAATAATTTAATATACGCTTTAAAATTCGATTAAATGGCTTTAAAACCAGAAGTTATACGTTATAACAGGAGCTATAATGTGGTCAAATGGCATAACAATTTTTTTTTACTATTAAGCTATGCGATCGGCTAAAAGAATAAGGCATCCTTTTGTGTAAAAAGCAAACCTTAGTTGCGCAACAAGCGGACGCTTGTATGTGGTTTGTGTAGCCGGTAAGTAATAACCTATGCGTTTGCTACCTGCGCTTACGACTCGCCGTCGATAACCTCCTCGCTGTAATTGAAACAATATAAGCTACTTACCTCGTGACGGGCGCGCCAGGTTTGAGACGATGCTTTACATCAACGCCTCTTGGAAGGACCCATTTTCTCAGACTTTTCGTTTTATTTATGAGATCGGGGAGTAAAATATATATATAAATTCCTCACCAAACACAACAGGTAATTTATAAAAATCATTATTTTATAACAAAAAGTGATCTGGCCTATCCAAAAAAAAACTATGAACACAAAATAATTTATAAAAAAAATCTTTGGGTGTAGAGGCTTTAAACAATGGACAAGATTTCTCTTTTCATACTTATAAAAACAACATCGGAAAATTTCGTATTAACGGAAGTTCATCACTTAACTAAACTATTTTCAATTATACTATTTCAAGTAATTGCGGAAGGAAAAACCAAAACCTAAGTTGATGCCGTAAGAGTATAATGGGTTGATACGAGGCCATGGGACACACTAGCTATTTTAAATTCCAATTTACTAAGACAACCTGGATTTGAGCATGAAAACATCGCCCAAGTTAAGTTTATTGTGATGTCTTCTCCAAAGCTAACATCAATAAAGGTTGCCAAAAAAATAAACAATTTTATTCGCGCTTCAGGCTTTTAGATGATTAAACATCGACCTCCCTTGCCCGTACGCCCAGCCCGTTGAAAGTTCTAAATGGGCCTTTATAATTGTCTGCAAGCGCTTTACATTCGTGTGGGTTTTACAGGTGATGTACTTGTGGAGGTTAAATACGAAGTAGCAAAGTGCTGCAACATTTGACCTTCAAGACCAAACAAAAATGTGTAAGACAATACAATAACCTATTCTTTACCAGTCATGGCCTGCTACAATTCAAACGCTGCAAAAAATATAAAAATTTTTAACTAAAGCAATGGCTCATGCGGTGCTATTGCTTAAGCAAATTTCAAGAGGATTTTAACAAAGTTTAAAACTTCAGGTATAAGCATGTTCTTTTTTTATGACCTTTGAACAGGTAAAGTTGACTCTGAAGATACAAAAAGAAATAAAATAATGAAAATAGACTGTATAGATACCTATGAAAGTTGAGGATACTTTTTTAAAGTCCTGAATTGTAATTTTCTTTTTAAGAACTAGATTAAAGTTTATAGGGTCGTTAAGCTGATAAGTTTAATAAATATAAAAGTGAGTCGACCGAAGTTCTCTACCTGACATATCTCCTAAAGTGTTTACTAATTCAAGGCCTCTAGTTTTGTTTAGAATAATTATAATTATAATAATTTTTAATAAAAGGGGATAGGGTTAGGGCTAAGAGTTTAGTGGGTTAAGTTAAGGTTAGGATTAGTTTAAGGCAACACGAGGAGTCCCTCATCCATTTAAAGGTAAATACAGGTTTAAAGGTTCAGTAGCGTTGATATTAGTATTATGCTTGTAGCTTAAATTATGTTATTCGTTTTCTAATAGTTAGTTACTTTAATATTTATTGTCTTTAAGTTTAAAGAGTGGGCGTTGCAAAGAAAAACATTTTTGTTGACAACCTTCCTGCTTGTGCCTGTAGAGTACTAGGCTCATGTAATAAAATGTATAATTTTTTCCTTGTCTTATTAAATTTATTCGCGTCTAAGTTCTAAAAAAGGACCACCCACCTACTAACTTATTAAAAAAAAAAGTTTCGTTTTTTATTAATACACAACCAGTTAGGTTTCTTCACCTTTTATGTAACACATTTATGAATCCTTGGTAAGGCACACAAACAAATATTAAATTTTATTATATGCACTTCATTACTCTACTTAATTATACACATCATAACATATTTGTATTTAGTTAACTTAATATTTAATATACTTTTTAATCTACAATTTTAGACTAATTTAAACTAATAATTATAATAGTTGTTTATACTAAAAGCTCTGCAGTAGCTATTTATAGCTTGTAAATTAATTAAGGTATGTATCCTTAATAGAACAACTAAAACAGCATGTCTTTTACCTTTAACGAAGTAAACTAGGTCATACGGGATTTTTTTTAACCCTTCTAATATTTAAGCTACTAGAGCAGCATTACAAAATGTATTACGCATAACTGACCTCCTGGACAGCCTTTTTATTAAGCTGATCTGATTTAAAAAAAAAGTATGCTTAGCTTACCTGCTGAGAGAAGCCGTAAGATTTAAAAAGGTCTTTTACAATAGTGGAACTTTAAAAAAAGGCCAAGCTTCTCTTGACAAATAAAGTTAGCGGATGAAAGAAAGTAGATGGTAAGGGAGGCTAACACTAAACACTAAACAACAAATAAATAGACAAAAATGAACCTATCTACAAAACTCCTTTGTAAAAACATTTTTAAAAAAGTTTAACGAAAACGAAAAATATTCTCTACATTTGTTATTAAGATGCGCTTTATGAAGTCTCTATAGTAATTTAACACTGACTTCTATTATTAATCTTAAATATTCAAAGTTGAACTTTGCAATTACTCTCTCTAACATTGCTAGGAACTAGTCAAAGTATTTTTTTTCTTCCAAAGAAAAAGTTTTCCGGCAACAGTGTACTTATTTCGATTATTAAGTAAAGAAAGCCACGAAAACTTGTTAGTGTGTACAGCAGGCCCGGAAGAACCTTCCTCTAAATGTTAAAAAAAAACTAAAGCTGCAACTAAAGTGTCTATTAATTAATTATAAGCAAACTTTCGGGGATAACGTGTACGACTGGAAAGAAGAACTGAGCAGTTGTTTCTGTTCCTCAAAAAACAATATTCCGACCACAATAAATGGGGCCCCCACAAAAGTGTACTACCTGTATTCTCCACGTCTATCGTTTTTTCGTCAAGAGTACTTTCAAACAGCTCCTTCATGCGAAACTCACACATTCGCTCTCCCTTTTTGTTCTGGCATACGCTAATATTAACGCCATATAACAGCAGAAAAAAAACGACATCTGCCACCAAATCAAACTCGTCCTCACGCTCAAGATACTCCTCATTAGCAACGAGGCCTGACCTCCAGTCCGTCCATGCAAGAGGCGCATGGTCAGCATATTCGGCGTCCCACTCGTACATAGTCCCGGATAATCCGCACGACACCAATACGCAACTACGCGTAGGGTGGCAAGCAAAGCTGCAGAGACTAAACGGTTTTAGTGTTAGTTGTAGTAAAGAGCAAAAGTTAACAAGTCTCAGTAAACCAAATATTAAGGAGCACGAAAAGCAGTGTAGCATACCGATCTTTATCGCTATAAAGTTTCCACACGTTGTGGCCAAAAGCCAGCTCCCAATAGTAGAGGACATGGTTTTGCTCAGTCGAGCCTAACAAAATAAACAGTCCTTCTCTATTCGAGGCCAAGCTAGAAGTATAAAGCACCCGCAATTACAAACAGGCCATCACTGGAAAAATTGGCGTCCCTCCAGGAAGTTCTATCAACGGGTGAACGTAACTTGTGGACAATCTCAAAAGTCTTAGCATTGAAGACACGAATCACTTTATCGCTGCAGAGAAAAATTCCGAGACTATTATTTAATATACTTAAATTAAACCAAGCGGCAATTTACAACGCCAAACCTGCTTTTCTTGTTAAATCTAATCTGTTTGGTTTCAATGAACGGTTTATCTGAAAGTCTTATACACCGAAGGACCTCTTAAACGGGCCAATAACAAATATTTTCCACAATAAAATATATAAATTACCAAGGCGCTTAAGACTATAGTTAGCCACAAGTACACACGAGTTGGCATTCCCCACAAACAACAAAGAGGCAATGCTAAAAGCAGCGACCAACTTTTCTATGCTCCCTCAAAAAAAAACAAGTTCAACTAGTGCATCTCTACGGATTACGCTGCTCCTTACTGCACACCTGAAGCATATTGAGTCCCTTCTTTAAAACTGCAAGGGAACTCCAAATGATAACTTTTAAAAAAACTAAGAAAAAATAAACCTGACGGACTTCTCATCATTAAATACGTAACTGGTATTTATTTTTTCACAGGTATTCCAATTAATAATTTCTGGGTAAGAGTTCACCCGGGAAACCACCATAATTTCTCTTAAGTCATTATATTACACTCTGCAACACGTTTGGGTATACAAAAATAACTCCGTACTGGTAACTTGGGTTCACACAAACATTAAGAAGCTGCGAAGGAAATTTGCTACTGAAGACAATACTTTCGTTCTCCAGACTATAAGCGAAAACACAGCCTTCTTGGTACCCACAAATAATTGTGCTGCCACTACATGACCATCTAAAAATTAGCTAATGATGCTAAAGGAAATTGCAAAGAAGTTAAATTTATACTCAAGTTGGATTATAGAAACATAGTGCTTATAGGGGCAGTGCATATTATAAATAATCGTCTTGGAAGCAAAATCCCAAATCTGAATGGCAGCAAAATTTAATATAAAAGAAAAAAATAAAAAACTTGATCTAAATTTAAATCACTCTATTAAAACAAAATAGCTGAGCTACATAATAACTTACAAGGTTGCTTTAAACGGCATGTTACAGATATAAACTATTAACTAAAGAGTTATTTAGTTACGAGATGTAAAATAAACTTCCAGATGAAAATATGTGAAGTTAATAACAAACCAGAATTTTATTTTTGGTGTACTAAAAAACTTAAAAAGTAGTAGTCATATAACCTTTACAGAACCTCCGAAACAACCCAGAGCCAAAAGTGAACCGGTCGAACTAAATGAGCAAATCTTTACGCGCTCGTGAAATTTTCCTGTTATTGTCTGTAATATCTTATAAGGAAAGGACATAAGAAGAATACGCGAATTTAAGAGCTTTAATTTTTTTTAACGAGTTTTTAAGTCACAAAGAAATAAACCTTAGGGAACAGTTGTTCTTGTTTGTCTGTTTAAAAGGTAAATTTAGTGCTTGTATTAAACAGAAATACACTTTAAGTGCACATTATACTCAAGGTAAAAAAAAGGTAATAAGGTAGATAAATACTAATTAAATATTCATTCATCGCGCTATAAAGCTGAGTTAAACGAGGTCACTATGGGAAGGGATACTCAGTGGTGCATAAAGCACTAAATGTTATATATACTAAAGAACTGTATAATTAAAAAATTACACAATTGACTTAGGTATTATATGGTCTGCAAAAACTACCAATTAGACAGCAGATAACAGTTTAGTAGTGCCGTACATGCGCATCCCACTTTTTACTCTTACCTACTACTACTATCGACCGCCCGTAGGGTTCATATATGTTTGTTTTTTTAATTACTTCTTTCAACTGTTTACGAAAGCTATAACCTATAACACGCATGTATGCAGATAAAACTTATACAGTTTAGCACTTAAAAGAATAAAGTAGGGGGCTTAAGCTCTAGTCTTGGGGAAGTCACCTTCACTGAAGGGAACTTTATTAATTAGTCTAGGCATAAGTGAAGACCCCCCGTATGATATAATTATGTCTATTCCTTGCAAGTTCTTGCTAGATTCAGGCGTTTGGAGTAGTTTTGTTTATGAGGTTTCTGATTAGGATTTTGGGCTGGAAAACTCCACTATTCGGGTGCTTAATGTCTTTAGAGGGACACTTATTGCGTTAACTATGTTGTCTTTGTTGCACTATTACTTTATCAGAGAAACGCGAAAGTCAAACTGTACGCGGTTAACTACTTGCTTTTAAAGGGTATGGACTTAAGATTTTGTCTTCAAACTACTTTGTAGAGCTCCATCATAAGCGATGACATTCAAGAGGGCTTTATAGTATTAAAATTTAGCAAAGAATTTGTAGAGAAGGCGTTTCTGATTTTATGATTGAAAGGGTGGCAGATAGCATTAGTTTAAGGGATACAGAAAAACAGTAAGATTCAACTTTCTTGCACGAAGGTTTTCCTATCTATGCGTTAAAAGCGTGATGAAGCCGGAAATCTTTAGAGGTTATTTTAATAAAAGAACGCCTCTCCCTCGTGGTGCAAGTATGATGTTAAAGACAAGCTAAAGACTCCGTCTTTTTGGAATGATGTGAAGCTCTTTAAAAGCACGGAGCATAGAAGAAATCTTTAACAAAGAATACAATTACATGCAGGTGGTAGTAGAGAAGCCATGTACTAAAGATGCCGTTATGAAAGAGATTTAAGGGGCACCAGAGAAATTTATGAGGATTTGTGATACACTTTAGAGGCTTAACAAAAAATGCGTTGAGGAGAGATATAGAGCACCGAAAGAACGAACTATAAGTATGGAAGTCAGAGGATAAAAGATCTTTTAGCATCTTTATTTATGCAAAAGGCTTTTTATCAGAGAGAGATCAATAAAAGTTGTAGAATATATTTTGCTGTACAATGCCAGAGAGATGGGGAGTGCAGTGGACAATGCTGCTTTTTGGCCACATATATGCACCTATTAAGTATCATAAAATCATAAAAATTAGTACTACGGGTATAATAAATACTTAAGTGCTTGTAGATGGTTGTTTAGTTGCTAGCGAACCTAAAGTAGGCCAATTTAGAAGACTCTGCCATATGGTAAAGAAATATGAAGTATTTAAGGTGAAATTAAGGCCAGAGGAATGTAAATTCGCATAACATTCTGTTTTCTGGTTAGGAAGAAATTTTTTACATCATCAAGACTGGAGATGATTAAAGAAAGAGTTGTAGCTTTTAAAACCGACAAGGATGAATTGACTAGCTTTTTACGGGCACTTAACTTTTGGAGCAGCATATACCTAATATTACACTGTTAGCGGAACCTCTTTGCTGCTTATTAAAGAAGGAGTGAAGTTTAAAAGCAAAGGAGGTAAGAATATGCATGGGAATTATTTCTTCTTATTATATAGAAAGGAATCTGCCTGGAGCCCATTCATGGTGATTTGATTCTTTAAACAAACTCCGGTGGCATAGGATGGGTGGCGCTCTTTAGTAAAGATACTCGGGCGTGCCCGCCACCTTGCTTTTGTAAGTTTAAAATTTTATGATGCTCAGAAAAGACGTGGTGTGACGATTAGAGAGGTTTTGGCTGTCGCTAAAATTTTAAAACAAGTTGATGGCGTACATACAACCAAGTAACAAACCTCTAATATCGGAAACTAACCATAAAGCTTGATTAAATATTTAAAATCGAATATGAGGTAATTACGGTAAGAGAAAAAAGAATTGATCGTATAAAACACGTCAAGAGTAATATATATGGGACACTAAAATACAATTTGGGGAAGGTACGTGATGGCTAATATACTTTCAGGACTCCCCCCTCTTAATCGAGGGTAAATACGATACAATATCATTGCGTTAAAAAGCGTGAGGTCAACACCCTCACGAGGATTGGTTTTATGTAGGTAATAATAAATTAAAACTAATCATAGATAAGAAGAATTTGTACAACGTTGTGGATCAAATCTGCAAAGAGTGCGCTATCAGGAATAGCTATGCTAAAGCTGGAGAACGTGCGAGAAACTCCACCAGATATTTGCACCACAGAGACCATTTAAACATTATTCAGCGGATATTATATTTATGCCCGAGAACCTTAGAGGGGTTTGTTTATATATTAGTTATAGTCGACAGGTACTTACAACTTCTCTGGATAAAAGCTTCAAAAGTAACAAATACCAGACTTTATAAAGTGTTAAAAATATATTTAAGTTACACTACCTGGTAAAATTACCCTCTTGCATGCACAGTTCTTATGGTAATAGTATAGGCGAGGAATGTTCCGGGGTATTCTAGTAACAATTAAATTTTATACTCGGCAAGAGTATAAATTCCTATAACACAATGAAGGGTATCAGTTCCTGGTATTAAAGCCGAGGTAAGCGTTCTGGCAACTTAATAAAGAATATTATACCCCGTTTTACCCCGTTACCTTATTATTTTTTTTCCCGTTGCGGGCGCAATACTTTAAGAGACTAACAATAGCTAAAAAAACGTTTAGGATTATTTTATTACTACCAACTATCACTAATTTAATGTAATTGCTAAAAGGGTTATTGAATGAAAACTAAATTAACAAGAAAGCTTAAAAGAATAATTTTAAAAAATGAGTACATATATAAATATAACAGAAATCTTAATGTACTGGGAGCTCCTTTATAGCGTCTAGGTTGCCGCCTTGACCTTTGCCGCCATGTAATTTTCGTGTGGACGTCACGACAACTTAGAATCCAATTAGGTACGAATTGAGCGCTTCTAAAAGACCGTGCGGTATCGCTTGAGCATGGGCTTGCTTAACAGGTCATTATGCTAGACCCGGTCAAAAGCCCTCTCAACATCGAGAAAGGCTGCGCCGGTGGCTTTCTTAATATTACAGACTCTGGCCGTCCACTCTGTTAGGTTTCTCACCATGCCAAAAGTGGTCGACCGCCCTTAGGGAGCAGGAATTAATAATTTAGGTATTGAGTTCTCAAACACTCGGTTAGAAGAAGGATTTGCTGGGCCCTTGAGTGTCCCTTGAAAAATCCAAACTAAAATTGGTTAAATTCCGCTAGCGTTCACAACCGCCTACAAACAATTAAGTAGCACTGCTTCAGCCAACTTACCAACTTAACGAAAGGCTGATGGATGGATAGTTGTGAGGCCCTGACGCCAGTTGCGATGTCTTTGGTAACCTCACGACAACCGCCATTTCCAATACCCGGGAAAGTAGCTGAAGGTCAATACTGATTTGACAAGGCAGCATAGATGATTCATAGCAGTCTCTAACAACTGTGTTGTAACATTAGTGCCTGGCGCTTTTCACTTCGGGTAGTAATTTAATAATTGATTTGAATTCGTCTGTGGTAGACTGCTCCAAATAATTAGTGGTATCAGACGAGATAAGATTAGGCACAAGGGAGCGTTGTCGTTGTTTGAGGGGGTGGAGAAGCACTGGGTAGCTAGATGATCAGCAAAAAATTTCGCTTTGTC